TCTAAGAATTATTCAGCATTTGTGACATCATCAAGCTATGGTGGCCGGTATTCCGAAGCAAGAGGGCTGGAACTTGAGCTTCAGATCTTTGACTACTGATGAACATTTAGGTTGGGAAAAACTGCTCTCTAAACTAGGAAACTACCAACTTGAGCTAGGATATGATAATATTGCTGGCTGGGAGCTGGAAAAGTAGAAATATTTACTACCAGATAATATCAGTAAAATATATCCCTGTATTTGGAAAGTAAACTTGCAACGGAAATTAAACTGAGTTGAATTTAATTGGTTCATCGCCCACAATTTTTTTTGAAGCACATTGTTATTTATATGATTTAAAAAAAAATATTCTTGTGAATCAGAATCTAGTCTACCAGCCAAACGATCTCATAAAGTGATTCTGATTCATCATCTGAAACGTTCTTTGAAAGAATCTAAAATCGAACTATAATGTTGGGAAGCGGGCATCCGTTCGCCCGAATGCTCCGTTGGTGGGCCGCGACGCCAACCAAACGACCCCTCATATCCACTCGTCCGTTTTCTAAAAAAATCGCTCATCAATTACTCCACCCGTTCCTATCTGCTCGCCTGCCGCCTCCGAGGCGCAGCACTCGTCCACTGGCCCTACCATGCATGGCGTGCAGCTGCCTCTGAGTCACGGCGCTCGGCTGCCGGCCTGCCTAGTCGTGCGGTTACTGCCTCCCCACAACGTCGCGCAGTCGTCGTCGCCAGCCCGCCACCTACAAGCGCTGCCAGGACGCTACCTCCAGTGAACTCCACACGCCGATGAGCCTCCATTCTCTCAAGCAGCAAGGAGATGTTGCGCTGAAAGCGCATGTTGCAAGCGCATGTTTCAGTTGTTTTAGATGCTTTAGAGGTATGTTACAAGTGTTTCATATGAATATTGCAAAAGTAGATCCGAATGTTGCATATGTTGCAATGGTTCTACACATATGTTATCAGCGTCTGTTCCAAATGTTTCATCTATTTTTAGACGCATGTTGCAAGTGTTTTATCTGGATGTTGCATATGTTTTACACGTATGTTGCAGGTTTTTACCTGGATGTTGCATATGTTTGTAATGGCTTTCAAGAGTTTTTAGGTGTTTTTGCAAGTGTTTCAGCTGTTTCAAATGTATGTTGCAAGTGTTTCATCTAGATGTTGCAAAAGTAGATTTGGTGTTGCACATGTTGCAATGTGATCCACCTGCCACATCCGCCTACTGTAACTGCTGGGGCGCCATGCATGCGTGTGGGAAGCGGAGAGGTGGAGCGCTGCGCGGCGATGGGCGCTGGAAGCGGAGGGGGATGGCAGCAGGGGCAAAGGCTGTTATGCATGCGCGCAGGAAGCAGGGGAGTGGCGGAACAGGCGTGGAGGCGCGCAAGAAGCAGGGAAACGCGGGGAGCAGCGGGGAGGGGAGGGGCGCAGGAAGCAGGAAAATGTGGGGAGCGGCGCGGACGGTCCCCACCTATGTGTGTAGCAGGCGCGAACGTCCGTCTAAACGTCTATACGCTAGTACTTTAAAAAATCGAAACGTTTCTACCAGAATCTAAATTCCTATCAAACGTAGCATTTAGACTCGACTCAAGCTTGGCTCAGACACTGACAAGCCAAGCTTGAGCCTAACTAGGCTCCTGTGGTTGTCAGGCTTAGAACGAGCTCGCCTCGATCCTTCATAAACAAGCTAAACATTGAGGCGATGAGCTCACTCAAGCTTGGCTTATTTGCAGCCATAAATGAAATATTAAAGTTGTATAAAACATTTTTTCCATGTAAGCGCAAATAGCGCATGTATATTAATATATAGACGGCACAAATGATATGCCAACCTTATTAGTTGACCTCAAATCTCATGGAATCGTGGTCGGGTTAACTTGGAGTTCGAAACGTGAGAAAGAAATATAAACACTGTTTGTTTCGCTGAAAAAATAAGCCGAAATACTGTTCCGACTGATTTGTTGTGAGAGAAAACACTGTTCCGACTGAAAAAACAAGCTGAAAAAGACGGATTATAAGAGAAGCGAACAGGGCCATTGCATGAGGTGAAAGAGAAAGTGACAGTGAGAGAAAAAAAGCAAAAGAAGAAACAAAGGGAAGTGGTGCATGCCTAGGGAAGTAGAGAGAGGATAGGGATCGTAGGATAAGAAAGCGCACATGTTAGGATGTGATGTGTGCCCCATTTGCATTGCCCTCCGCCATCAGCCTATTCGCTTGATCGTTTCTGTGGCTTTATGGCTTATAAGTTGGTTGATGCTGTTTTGTTGTGAGAGAAAATATTGTATTATAGCTGATAAGCATGGCTGATACGATCAAGCGAACAGGCCGCATACACGTCACACGACTACCCCCGAGTGGAGGCGGCCTGGCGGGCAACCACAACCACAACATGGCCCCAAATGCTAGAGACAGACACGCCAATGCTACCACTCTTCTTTTGGGAAAATCATCCACGACCACGAGTTGGGCTTGTTTAAATCCAGGATGTAAAGTTTTGGGGGTGTCAAATCGGATGTCACATGAGTTGTCGTATAAAGTGTTCGGATACTAATAAAAAAATTACATAATCCGTTAATAATCCGCGAGACGAATTTATTAAGCCTAATTAACATGGCATTAACACATGTGTTACTGTAGCACCACATTGTCAAATCATGGGCTAATTATGCTTAAAAGATTTGTCTCACAAATTAGTCACAAACTATGCAATTAGTTATTTTTTAATCTATATTTAATACTCCATACATGTGTCAAACATTCAATGGATATGGAGTAAACTTTGGAGGAGGAACTAAACAAGGCCTTCCTCTCTCTCTCTCTGGTCTGACTTGACACGCTCTCTAATGTAAAGCCTTAAATTAGAAAAAAAAAACCGACTTGTACAGGCATAGATAAATTTGTATTTGTGAGCGGATGATACATTCAGCATACAGATGACTCATATTTCTTATCACGGGCCTTGACTCATTTCTTGTGAAAATCAAGTAACATTCATGACGAAGTCGTGTGAGCCCATTTGTAAAACTCTGGCCGGATCAAACGCAAGCAACCTGAAACACAAATTGCAGTTTCTTGCAAGTAATTACTAGCTAGTTTTAGTTGCAGGTGATCACTACAGATCCAAACTTGTTGGCACATGGCTTAAAAAAATGCTTTCGCACAGAACAGATAAATAACCATATCCTGTGTTTTTCCAATAAATAAAACAAAACAAAATAAAAATGCTTAATAACAGTAAAATAGAACAGGTTTGATTCGCCACTTGTCACCATCAGGACTTGCATGACAGCCTCCATCCCATCATACAGACAATGAGACAAGTACCATTTGTTACAGTTACAATTTGTACTCATCAATTCATGGTTGTTCATGATTAGGGTTTAGACTTGATGTATCCTAAGATGACTGTGAATGGGAGGGACCAAGAAAAAAAATGTTTTCGCAAGAAGAAAAAAAAAGGGGATATGGCAGGAAAGGCTGGATCCGAGATCAGAAATCGGATCGGGAAACAAAATCTCCAGCCGTTTTATCAGAAAAAAAGAAAACGTTGCAGTTGAGAGTTGACCCATAATTGCAATGGAAATAGAAGCCAGTCAGAATCCTTCATGTGGCATAATAATCCAAAAAATGCTGATTAGACGAGCACTTAAACTATGGAAATGCTGACACGATGCATATGCCTACATGGGCCCGATTGTGATATAAAAATAAAGATGTGATGGGATGCACTGGTGCAAGAACATGATGTGGAGATGATGTTGACTGAAACCTGAATGCATTGCTCGTGGAGATGATGTCTACTGTAACCAAGTGGCATTGTTCTACATTCTGAGTTTCTGACGTCTCAAAGACTCCCAAGAGCAACACAGGCAGAATATTCAGAGTATATGATCATTTATGCTGCTCTCCATTACCATGCAAGAAGCTGTTCGAATATACCATGTATTTCTACCTGATTCTGAAAATTGGACGCGTTCATCATATCATAAAATTCAATAATGAACTAGACAACCACAGTTGCATGGTTTTAAGAGAAATAAATACAATGATTCGTCCTCATGATATGATTTAACTGATCGTAGTCCTGGATAAATATCAACTCTAGGAGCACTGAGCACACCCTCTCAAGTCAAAAGAGAAACACACAGGTTCCTGGATGTTTTTTTTTACAGTCTGTCTTTCACTTTTTTACACACCACTGATTCAAATGATCACTTGTTACTGAACTCTTATTCAACTTGCCAATAAATTGAAATCATATTTCAAGTTAACCTCCAAAGTCCAAACAGACATCAAAGGATAGATCAATGGTTATACACATACCGTCTATTATCAATTTATCATTGATACCAGTACTTGGCACTGCAAAATTCAGTGAGTTATTACGGATGATGCATGTTGCATTTCGGTTGCCCTATAGTTTCCTGTATGTCCTCTGTGATTGCACTTTGTTTGGGCCTAGTGATGTAAGCAGAACCTGATACTGTATGGCAAGTCAAACTGCGTGCAAGTATTTTGCTTTACATGTCCGTACTCTAGGTTTCCATAACGTATAAATACTCCCTCCTTTTTTTTGTTACAATACATTCGACTTTGTAAGGGAATCCTCAACTACTAGTCTTTGACCCCTACTCTAATTTTCATGGGGTCGCATTAGCTAACAAAAACTCAAAGAGTGTAGAGAAAGATAAAACCTACCTTGTCTGCGTATACAAGGTAGCTTATAGAAACTAAAACGTGGTGAGTACCTGTGCGCCATAGCATCATAGATCATTTTCAGATCACCAATGAATCACTTCGATCACAGGTTAACAGTGGCAGGAGATACTGGCTGATGACGGTGGTGACTAACTGAACTTATATCCAGCATGATTTCCATATTTCCCTACTGATCTTTTGAACTACAACTGGATGGGCCGTATCTGAGTTGAAGCTGGGCACTGTGGTATACTGGTATGCTATACTTGAGAACCAGAACAAACAGAGATAAAACCCTCAGTAAGTCAGTTATTCTTTGTTTCTCCATTATCCGTGTCACCTGATTCCTCTGGCAGGAGACCCAAAAGAGGTAAGGGCAGCAGTGAACTAAGATTGCAGACGACAATCAATAGAGGTAGATTCCCAAAGGTGTCCCTAGTGACCCCAAATATCCGAGTTAGACCAGCACCAACCAGACCACCCGTAACACTTCCAGCATTAGAAATGGACATCAAAGTTGCAAATAAAGTGGCTTCCATTCCTGGAGGGCACAATTTTGCAGCTAACACCAAGACTGGCATAAATGAAGCCTACAAAAAAGTTTAGGTAACATAAGCTTGCATTCAAGGAAGCACTTGAAGGCAGGAGGTGTCAAAGCTAGATATTATTTAACTCATATTAATATATAAAATGATGCTCTGATTGTACATATGGGACGTTGAGACTTCTCTCAAAATAAGTCAACATCTTTCTAAGAACAGGTACGCCATTTCACAACTAAGATCAGCTGATCCTGAATTGCCAGTGGTCACAATTATGGGCATATAAAAGTACTATGTTACAGGGTCACTATGTCAGGAAAAAGGGTACATGATCAGCTGAATACATTTTTTATTCAATCATGTAAAATGCACTCTGCTATTATTAAGCATTGCAGTAATGTTACTGACCTGACCCAGGACTGTGATGATTAATGAATCACCAATAGAAAACCACTCATCGCTAATCCCAAACTGCCGATTTAGCCCAGTTACAAGAAGCACCTAAATATATAAAATGCAGTATGTTTAAAGGATAGAAAAGAATTGCAGCACCAATCAAGAAAATAATATAAAGAGCACCTGTGTCATCCCAAGAGCTGAACCTATAATGGTTGTCACGAGAAAGATTTTCCTTAGAGGAACTTCCTTCAGAAAATAGTTGTAGAGCCCAACACCGAGCAGGGATGCAAAAGAGGTTACAAGCTTCACGCGCCCTAGAAACTCTGGAGTGAATCCAAGCTTATTTGTGCTGAAATATATTATTGAACATAAAAAAATGATCATTTTAAAATTCTTACAGATAAAAATCAGTTAATCATTTTTATTCATTATAAATGAACAGTGGATAAAGAACATAACCAATCAGACAAGAGACAGGTTTAGCATGGAAAACCCAAACAGGTAACACAGGTGCACAGAACAGGAGGATCTAAAGAGCGACAAGCAGAAATGAAACAATAGTCCATCCTCAATATGTGGCTAAAGTGTTTATATAGGGTACAAAGGACTCCCAGCTCCACACCCCCAAAAAAAAAAAAAAAAAAAAAGAAAAAAAAAACAACAAGGGACAAATCTGGAAAAAAAAAAGTTGACATGTTCTAACCGGGCCAAGCCACCTGCATGCTCCTATTAGGACAGTAACTACAAGCATTAATCAGCTGACATACTTGTTTAATTATTTAATATCAAAATAAGCATAACAGACTTGAGATCATGTTCAGCCAAAAAAAAAGTTTGAGATCATATTGATCATGTTCAGCCAAAAAAAAAGTTTGAGATCATATTTTTAGATATCTTCAAACTGCTAATACACAACTAGTGAAAAAGGGACCAAACATAATGAAAAACAACATTTTGTTGGCGTGTATAAAATTAGGATGCAAAGTTAACCAAAATAATTACTTTGCTTTGTACTTTGTATAAAGGCTTTGTTGTTGTTGTACTTTGTGAAGCAAGATAACTTTTCTTGATTTTGTGTACAATTTTACAGCTTAAGGTAGTGTAGCCACTCCAAATAAAGACAAGCTAGAGGAGCGCCCAACAATCAGAATAAGCTAAGACCTTCTTCTAGTCTGTGAAAGTTATAGTTATTGGATTACAACTAATTCCAATGCAACAGTCAAAAAGTAAGCAAATAGGCCATGAACAAGAATACAGGATAAGACCCATCACAGATCAGTACTGTAAAGATTTTTCAGACATACATGAAGAAAAACATAGCAGAATCTGACTGCGGTGTTGCTTGCCAAAGAAATATAAACAAGGTCGGCAACAAAATGTTAGGCTGCTTTACTGAAGTCCAAAGCTGCCTGACGTGCTGCTTAGAGCTCTCAACGAATCCTGAACCAGAGAGTAAGGTATTATGTTCTCCAGAAGATATGCGATGTTCATTTACAAGAACTGCAACAGCAGATGTCATCAGGGGTAAAAACGCTGTAACACCAAAGACAAATCTGCGTTTACAGGAATACTTTCATCAGTAGACTGAACTATAAAACAATGGGGCATGTGTCAGCTCAAGTGGTAGTGGTACAATAGGACAAACCTTACTCCATAAGTATCCACAAGCGAACCGCTAAAGTAAGCACTCACAATACCTCCAAAGGCAGAAGATCCCCAACAGAGCGACTGGAGTGATCCAGATGTACTTTGAGATTCTCCACGGGCTCTCTCAACAACCATAGAATCCACTACCTACAGTGTTCCCACATGTGCTGAGACAAACCTTGAAGCAATATACATGCAAAAGTTCTTGTTCTACAGTCCCAGCATGAGGTGGAAATACAACAACAACAACAACAAAGCCTTTTAGTCCCAAGCAAGTTGGGGTAGGCTAGAGTTGAAACCCAACATGAGCCCCTAGTCACGGTTCAGGCATGTCAATAGCATCTTTGCAAGCACTCCTATACAAACAAAGATCTCTAGGTATATCCCAACCTTTCAAATCTCTTTTTATTGCCTCCCCCCATGTCAGCTTTGGTCTTCCTCTACCTCTCCGCACATTAATGATATGATGATATTTTTTGGTAGAAAAAAGATGAAGTGTCATGGAGGTTGGGCTCTAGGGTAGCTGGACCTCGGCTATGCAGTTCATAGCCTCGATCCGTAGGGTTGGGGCGAGGTTTTACCCCTCAGTGCCCTGTTGTTGAAGGGGATGAGATTAAGACTAATTGTTCTTCATTGCTTGATTCTCAAAGGTGTCTCATACATAGCTTATAGAGGCACTCGGCCGGCTAAAGGAAAGAAGAGTTCACACTCCTAAAATTAGTTGAAGAAGTCCTGTCCACTGCATGCCTTCACGGTTGATCAAGCCTGTCCACTGCATGGCTCATGAAGCCGCTCATCCACTTCCTGGGGGCGTTGCTTCCATGAATAGGCGTGGCCTGCTTCCTGGACCGCAACTGCACATGCGCCCGCTCTTGCTTGGTCCTCATGCATGCTCTTCCATTGCCTGCTTCTCGCACGGTGTTCCCTGGATCTCCTCCTAGAGGGGCTGTAGCCCCACATGACATAAAGTTGGATCAATGTTTAATCACACTGACACACTTGACCAGATGCATCCAGTTTTATGGCTAGACAGGCCCCTAATGAAATGATTAATTTGAATAGCACTGTAAAAATAAGTTCAGATGGTCAGCCTTACAATGTATACTTAGATGCCCCCATGCCTAAACTTTACATAATATATGATTGGATTGTGTCCAATAGCTAGAAGGATGCATTGTATGAACATGTTTTTATGAAAACGTGTTTTTAAGAAATGTCTGTATGAAAATTTGGAATCAAGAAAAGGAAATACCGTGTTAATATGCACCAGTAACTGATTCATAAACAGTTGACTAGTTGGTGTATTCAGTATTAACGGGTAGGGATTTTAAATGAAGCATGCTGGAAAGCACAACAAAGAAATTTTCTTTACAAAAAACATTTACAGGAATCAATGCAACAATGGAGATTCGGGGCTTGTTTGAGGGGTATCTGCTCTTTTGTAGGGTGCTCTCAATGTGCCTGAACACGCACATGTATGCATTTTTAAATTGTTTTCATACTAGACATTTGTTAGAGCTTTCCTTATGCCTGTATTTATTTTTACAGTTAAATTTGGTTGTTAGATAACTCAATACAAATTTGCTCTATGCCCTTTTCTCTATGAAAAGTAAAGTATGCAGACAAAGGGGAAAATACTGTATAAACAATGATCACAGATCCACTTGGACTATACATAATAGAATAAAGAGCTCAGGATAGAAGGAAACCAATTTCTCACTATTAGAGTCTAATACTCACGTTCACAGAGAATATTTAATGGCATAGCAGGTTAAGAAATCTACAAGCATAAATATGCCATTGAGGAAGAACAAGAAAGCATCAATAAACAACTGGAGCATACCATCACTTCAATGATTTCTAACGACTGAATAAATGCAACTTGAGAGTAGAATATTCAGTTTGCACTTACAACATCTGAGAAGGCAACAGAAAGTGAGCCAAGAAGAATAGAGGATGCTGCACTGTATTTACTGCTCACTACTGTGGCCATTAAACTCCATGAAAGTGCTCCAAGTAACCCTGACAGAAAAAGGTACGACCTTCTTCGATATCCAAAGAGTGGAATGGAATCACTGAAAGGCAAGAGTAGACGATTCAAAATCAAGTATACACATACATCAGAAAGAAACAGATGTGGGAGGTTTTGTGAGACCTGATAAAGCCATAGAGGGGCTTGATCAACCATGGCAAGGACGAGAAACCAGTTACCACTGCAGTCTATATAAAAGAAACCATCTCAGTCACTTAACAGCACCTATTAACTAAACAGTGGAAACATTACATCATGGAACAAGAACTGAGCTCGAAAATCTAAATACAAAGATGGTACATGTAGGACAGGAAAAGGAATGAACGACACATACCTCAGCTGGATCTAGATGAAGATCATCTTTTAAGTAAAAGCTCATAGCAAGCCGTGCAAGACCTAAAACCCCTTGCACAAAATATACAATGGCAACCGCCATATTATCAGGGGACAGATCCACCCCAAACGCCGTGAAGTATCTCGACCCGGGCTTGTTCTTGCGCACATCATCTGTGCTAGGCTGCCTCTGCTCCTCAGAGTGGCTACTTGTATCACCCTTCGTCCCCACTTGATACCTAGGCATGACATTCCCTACAATAAGATAACACTAACACCATTTGAGACAGTTGTGACACTGGGTTAAGCAAAACACACACTACTAACTATTTAAGCAATGGATTATGGCCTGAATTTCGAAAAACATGTGGCTAACAGAAACATCCTACTAAAAGCTTTCCTTAGCTAACTAGATTCCACTGTGCAGCATTTCAACCACGAAGTGGCCCTCACGTCCCAGCGTATCTTCTCTATGCACTCATTATTAGGCATGAACCATGCATCCTCACCCAGCTCCAATTTAGCAACAGACAGCAACTGCATTGCGCCAACAGACAATCCCAGACGCACAACCGTAGCAGCCAGAACCCAGAGCAGGCTACCTCAGCCAAGCAGGCTCTCCGCCCCCCATATCCTCTCCCCAATTCAGCTCGATCTCCTGTTCCACCACACGAAATCCAACGACACGCTGAAATTCCCCCAGCCCCCGGAACCCAAAACCGCAAGCCCGCCCCAGATCCCAGGCAACCAGAAGGCTACGGACCCATAGAAGAGAGCGCCTCGAGCTCACCACCGGGCCGGTGGTGGTCGGAGGACGAGGCGGCGGCGTCACGGGCGTCGAGCTCGAGGGGCCGGCGGACGGCGGCCTCCTCGTCGTACGCGTCGAGTGCGGCCGACCCCCCGGAGGCCATCCCGAGCTACCCGAACCCCGCGGGCCTCGGCGCGGTCTCCGGTGAGACCTTGAGAGGACGCGGACGTCGGACGCCGGCGGGCGGAGACTGCAGAGCACGGGCCGGAGATGTTGGAAGCGAGATTTGGCGTAGCGCAACGAATGCCCGATGTTTCTCTCCCTGCCATGGTGGGCCCACCACACACACGCCCGTTACGCGCCCCCTCTCTCACGCTTGATTTGTTGGGTTGGTGGGACCTGGGAGCTGGGCAGAAGCAGAGCTGTGTTTCCCTCTCTGATCAGTGGGCCCACGAACACAGTACTCTTTCCTTTTCATCAGCCCGAGTGGTGCGTTGTCTCTCCTCTCTGCTTCACGGGCCCGCTAGGGCTTAAACCGAAAGGGAAAAATATATATATTTAGGCCAAAATGGCCAGCCCAGCAAGGCCGGTGTCATCGGGTTGGATCAGGTCCAGTCCAGCCCAGCCCATAGAGTGGTAGTAGCAATTGTGCCCACCTGAAGGCGCAGCACACAGTTAGAACAAGATTCCAGACAGGAGAACGTTTGGCAGAAATCTTCTACGGTGTTTGCGGTGTTTGGTTGCATCTCCTAAATTTTAGTCATTGTACCATCGAATATTTGAACACATACATGAAGTATTAAATATAAACTAATTACGAAACTAATTACATAATTTGCAAGATAAATCTTTTAAGCCTAATTAGTCCCTGATTTGACAACGTGGTGCTACAGTAAACATGTGCTGATGACAGGTTAATTAGGTTTAAAAATTCGTCTTGTGAGGTACTGACGGATTATGTAATTTGTTTTTTTATTAGTATCCGAACACCCATGCAACATCCTCCCGACATACCTCCTAAATTTTAGTCCCTGGATCAAACGCTACCTAAAGCTATGCATTTGTAACAACATTTTACAGTTGAAGCTGCTGACAGAACACAACACGAGCCATGGCATCCACATAGGAGTACCAATTACCACCACACACAACAATGAACCTGCTCCTCCCTACCCTCTACTGACAAGGACTAATGGCTGAGTGGCTGACTGACTCAGACAACCCCCCGTTTTTTTTCCTTCACAGAATTTACAGTGGAGATCCCTGGGCTCATTGGATTACGCAGGCGCAGGCGCCAGTGTATTCTTCGTCGTCCGAGTCTCCAGATTCGCTGCATCGAAGAAAAGATTGTGTAAGCATCGAAGCCACATATGCCATATATATCTTCAATTCTGAGAGTAAGAGGTCCAGGTCCAGCAGAGCAGTCAAGCATTGTGTAAGCATCAAAGCTAGATTTTCTTAGGCCCTAGCGTGGAAAAACTTGAATCGGACAAGCAAGTGAAAAGGATGGAAACTACCACAAGGACGCACGGCTATATCCAAATGCATATTCTCATCACCAGCAGGAATGATAACGATGTTAGTATACTGTGTCAATGCACCATTACTAGGTTTAAATGTGCGATGGGACTGTGATGAACCTAATCAAAATTCAGCTTATCCAATCATGGTATGGTCCTAAATAGCAACTGGAAGCAACCTGTAGTAAAAAGACCCATTGAAAATGAAAGCTCAATTGCCCTGATTGTGATTTCATATCTTTAAAGCTATGCGCTGACTTGGAAATTGAAACACTGATTGGTCTATATGTAAGTATTTTATTTGTTTCTGAAAAGGATTTTTACAATGCCATAATGAACCAGCTACCTGGGTTGTGGAAGATCTATTGACGAAAACCTCAATGAAATCTCCCTGACCCCTTCCAATGTTAACATGGAAACAATAGATAGAAAACAAAAGTGGAACATGGCTTAAAATACAAACATGAACTGCCAATCCGATTTGATGTGCAAGTTCTGAAAGAAATCTTTCAGTTTACATTGCATAAACAGCACAACACTAGTTCAAGGTAACTGCCAGATCTACCTTTAATAATTTAAGTGAAAAGGCCTCAGCTTTCTCAGGTGGACTGACCTAAACCCAGATAGCGTTGAAACTAGACCGTTTGATCACGCTTCCTTGATGCGTTGAAGAAAACTGTCAGGGAAGCACTAAATAAAAAGTGGGTCCAGGTAGGACACTTGGGCGGCCATCCAACCAGAAAAGGTATGGATGGTTTGGTCTATATAGCTTCACCCAGGCACAAGAAATTGGCTTCGCAACAACCAACTCATTCTGATTAATGATCAGATGGTGACCATATGGAAGCAAGCTGAATGCATCCACAGCCATGCTTGAACACTCCAACCAAGGCCAAATATAGTAGAATCACTACACAATGACTTGGCCCAGCCTTATCTAATTAACCCACCACCTAGGAACAACAAAAAGATGGACACCATTACCAAGGGACATGAGGCTCATGACAAACCGTTGACTTCGCGATTAGGTACTAGTGTTTTACTAATGTCAGCACAACTGCAAGTGACCATCCATGACTTAAAATCAAATGCGGCGTCGCGGAGACCTAAAACGAGAACACTCCTCTAGAGATCAGGGGCAAGCCACATGTCCACTAGCCAAAGTGACGAGAACATTCCTCTAGAATTCAGGGGCAAGCCACATGTCCACTGGCCGAATTGACGCCTAACCAAAACGGTGAACAACACACATCACATGGCATGTCAAGCATTCCCCAAATTCGACTCTACAATATTACCGAATTCACCCACAATCTCAACTAGATAGTACTAGTAGTAGTAAGGGGAAACATGGCAAGATCACGGCGCATACCTTGGCTCGAATTCTTTGACCTGTGTGAGATCCTTCCCCAGCGAATCCCTCCACTTCACATTGCCTTTAGCTACAATCTTGCTGCTGTCCTCGCAATTAGCCCTCTTCAAGCAGCACTTGGGAGCCACCGCCACCTCCCTATAGCACTTGTCGTCATCACCACCGCCATCGCTGCCGGTTGCCGCCGCCGCCGCCGCAGGAGCAGATTCCTCGATCTTCTGGACCACCGGCGGCTTGTCCTCGGCGACAGCGGCGGGGCTCGGGGACGCGGACTTCGGGTCACCGCCGGCATCATCTTTGGATTTGGGGAGGCAGGGGAGGTAGCACAGGGGAGGAGCGCAGTAGCTCTCACAGTGGGAAGAGCTCCTCATCAATATGGCGAATTGGGGAACTGAGTTCCGAGGAAACCCAACACATCAACCAAAGCCTCCCGAAGAAACGGATCAGACGAGGACACCGCCCGCCCGCCACCAAGAGCGGCCACGGAATCACCCGGCGAGCAGCAGCGTCGACCTGCTCAGAGCAGACAGTCGCTCGCCGCTGCAATCTGAGCCTGATGAATCAAGAGCTCCAACTGCCCGCGCGCGCCAGCCGCCAGCCGAGAAACCACCACCGAGCTAAACCGGCCAAGAAAGGAGCAAATCTCTGCGCACGCAGCAAGGCCGAGGCGGCAGCAGCAGATCGAATCTTGCACCAAAAGATCTCCCTTTTCCAGGGACCAGGAGGAGTTGGAAGGGGGATGCGAGAGGAGAGAGAAGAAAGGCAAGTGGATGTGGGTCTCCTCTCCTCTCACCAACGAAGCACAAAGCAAGCGGGAAGAGGAAGAAGAGAGAGAAAAGGGGGAGAGGAATCCGGCCGATAAAGATCGAAGCTTTTGCTGCTTTGCGTTGCCCCGCGCCCCCGCCTCGCCGGTTCGCGGCCCGCCCGCCCGCCCCACAAGAAACCGAGCAAGCAAGAGAAAAAAAAAATCACCGGAGAAACGAAATTGTTGATGGAGGGGAGGGAGTGGCGAGAGGGATCAATCAAGTGGAGGCGACGGATAATGACTGGTGCTGGGGTGGCAGCATCACCATTTTCGCTCCACTGGAAGGGAAGAAGACAAGTGCCGGTAGAAAACAACCGCTCAGGCAACTCAAGGCATTTTGTTGCGTTTTCAGCGGTTTTTGTTGCGTTTTCAGCGGTTTTTGTGAACTGCCTTTCTTTTTTGGGGACTTTTCCAGGATTTTTGTTAACTGCTGCTGTGAAGAGCGAAGGCAAACCCACCGCTCAGGCAACTCAAGGCATCCAGGATCCCCTGCAACCAGTCTCTCTCCTGACTTAAACACATGGAGTTTGTGTGTCTTTGCGGTGATTTTAATGGCTTGTCCTCTCCTGACTTAAACCTATATATTCATAGGCATGTGATATGATATTAGAGTTAAGATTGAATGCAAATGTAATTTTAAGGCATATTTAGTATTGTCTTTGTAATATAACTTAGCATGAGGAATGCTTGAGCTAATGCCATAGGACTCGGGAGCGTTTTTTTCTCGATATCGACATTTGATATCATCTTCGTAAAACAATGCATGCTTTAACAATTGTCTAAAGATTAGTCGGGGTTTTTTCTTCGCATTTGATGTTCGCTTTGCAACACAACACGTATTGTATGCATGCCAAAACCCAACCGTCAAAGCTTTTTACGCATTTGATGTTGATTATGTAAAGCGACACACATTTTAGCTATGCGGCAAAAAACCGTCAGAACCGTCATATGTGGTATCCATGGAAGGCATATTTTATCTACTAACTAAAACTCGATGCTGCTTTGTTTTGCATTTCATATTAGCTTTGCAACATATTTGATATTCACTTTGGAGAGAAGGGGATGGCATGTTTCCCAGAAAGGCTTTTCTCTGTATCCACATTTTTGCTTCCTAAGTTTTGTGGTATGATTTAGCTATTGCCGCAAAACCCAGGGAATGTTTTCTTTTGCATGAACATTTGATACCATCTTAGCAAAAAAGTGCCTACCTAATTACATCCTAAAGATTACTCAGAGTTTTCCCTTTGTATTTGATGTTACCTTTGCAAAAACAACTCATATTGTAGATATGCCGCAAAAACCAATCAGAGTTTTTTTTTAAAAAAATCCCACATTTGATATTGGTAGTCCAATACAACCCTTGTTTTAGCTATGCATCAAAATATTGTCGGAGTACCTTTTTTCATTTTTCATCACATTTGATATCCAATTTGCAAATGAAGCCCTATCTTTTGCTATTGCGTAAA